TGGCTAGTACAAATTTGGAAACTATCTTCAGAAAAGTTGAATTTGATTGGATATTAACGCAGATAGTTTCCAAATTTATACTAGCCAAAACTTCACTATATCGAGCGCCGACTGTACAGCTGAATGACCAAATCGAGGTTGGATAGACAGTAAATAACCCAGAGCCTTGCTTGAGTGTAGAAGCAGAAGGGTTATTATAAATTATTCTTTTACAATAATCTTTTTTTTTTGTTTAATAAAACACTTTTGTGGCCGGAAATTAAATTAATTATCCGTTTGGTTTTCACCTACAGTTTAGGAGCTTCACCCATAGTTTAGGAGTTTCGCCCACATCACCAAAGAGAAAAAAGAATAAATGCAATGATGACTGCATAGACAATAAAGATATCAATTATTTCATATTTTTATAGGCTTGATCTCTTTTATTTCACCAATTTCCAGCTCTGCTATTAGAAGAATTTTTGAGAAGAAGCATATATATGGGGAATTTCTAGGAATATGTGGTTAGGGACATCTCTGAACAAATTGAGTTTTTTGTATAACACATATCAATATTATAAGGATCACAATTATGTAACATAATTTTGCAGGGATTGTTATTCAAAAAAATTATTATGTTCTTTAACCACATTTTGCTAGAAGTCACCTATATAGTGGCAGATAGCAGTATTTGCTTGACAATGATGGTATCCACCATCCTTTTGACATTCAGCCAATTGATCAGGTTGTGGGGGGTTGATTCTGGAAGAATTAGCATATTTGTTGGGTAAAAGAGGGGGACTCTGTAAAGATGTAATACAAAAAGCATGGTATCCAATGGCTGGATTCGCAAGGACAGAGAAGAAACAGGAGACTAATCCTTTTTGTTTAATATTATTACACATCTAATTTATGTATTTATTATTATATTCATTCTAACGTGCCTACACCATCAACTACTCTGCTTCAATTCAAGTTTATCAAATTTGCATCCCTTATATTTTAAACCATTTTCATACTCTTTGTAAAATTTTCATAGTAGAAAACAATGCGAAATCTTTGCTGAAAAAAGCCATATTGGTAAACAGCTTCCCATAACCTTTTGACAAAATCACAGGTGGCTCAAGAAGGACATGCATCAGGTCCAGTGAAGAAGTTGTATTGGTGGCTGCAGGAATTTCGAACAAGTGTAGTGTGATCCAATCTAATGGATAGTTAGAAGATGGCAGCTCAAAGCATACAAAGACTTATACCTGGTAAGTTGGTTGATTGCTGATAAAATTACTGTGTTTGTTTAAAAATAAAAAATTTTAATATGGATCATGAATTTACCAATTATTTATTTGTTCTATTACATGTTCTTTGTTAGACTCTGCTGCTCATGAGAAATAGGAAATTTGGCCCATAGTTATTAGTCATGATTGACCAACCAATGGAAGCAATGTGCAGTTTGGAAAGCTGTAGGAATTTAAACTCTGATTTAGTGTACTCCTTCACTCAGTAATTTTTAAGGCATTGCTTGTGTGTGTGTGTGTGTGTATAATAACAATGATATATTATATTCTTATTAATTAAGCAAATATTATATATATTATGTACAATTAAGTATAAATAAATTTAAATGATAATGAAAACTCTTTTCAATTACTAAAATCCTTTGTGATGATTTCATTAAAGGATGATGACAAGAGAAGTAAAGAAAAGAGGAAATTGATTTGGGGAAAGGTAAATAATTTTATATCAAGAGATACAACGTCTCTTGTGAGCTCTGCTACTATTGTTATTGACAGCAGCATCAGGAAAAGGACTTGAAGATTTATCATTTGATGATGATGATTTTGATTCTGTTGTCGTTATCTGTGTCTCTGGTACCTCCCCCAAAGATCTTTTTCGTGCCGAGGTATTTTTCTCGGCTTTGTTTATCTTATTCGCCGCTTGATATTTTGTTGCGGCCTCCTCTTGTCGAAGATGATATATCTAAAAGTGAATTATCACGAGTACGATAATAATTATTATTACTATCAATGAAAAATCAAAAAAAGGGCTCAAGAAATAATTACCCTTTTTTCACTTTCAGGCAATTCTCGCCATTTTTCACCCGCACCCTTCATTAATTGGCCCGAGTGCGTTTTGACATTATTTGATCTCATCTCTGCACAATAATCATTAAAAAAATAATAAAAGGATTTTTTTGGAGCACGCGGGATCTCTTTTTGAATGACAAAAAATTAATCATTAGTCAAAATAAATAAAAAAACCCCATTTATAATAACAATAATATAAAATCACTACCTCTTTTACGCTGTTTTACAGAAGCCTTGTCATCTTCAATCATAGTTCCATCATATATGGCTCGATGCTTTAATGTGCCATCTTTGCTTCGTGTATTATACCGGCTATTTCCTGGTTCAAGTTGTTTCTGCTGTTTCCGCTTTTGTGAAAGTTGCAATGAGTGTGGTTTACTTTCGAGGCTCTTTTCGGTTTCTATATCTTCTTCATCCACAGGCTCATCATTACTGTCATGATTTTTTTCAAACCTGAATACTTTTTTAAATTCGTCAAGTCTGTCGCTTAAATTACTTGGCGGTAATATATTTGGCACAGTGCCTTCTGGGACAGCACTTATTAAATCATTATATACATTCAAGGCCGTTTTGATGGCATTATTTACATTTATTAATGCGTCCTCGACCTATTTTAACCATTTAACGAGGATAATAAAATAAATAAAGGAAAAAGAGGCAAGCGATAATAAATAAATTATACAATTCAATTACCTTCTTTTCTTGAAATGATGTGTTACTTTGTTGTGAATTGTTATATTTGTCAGTCTCGATGTTAAAGTAATAGTTTTGGTTGACAAGTTGGCTAACTATTCTTTCAGAAGATCTGATTATTTCATTTGGATTGATCACCATAAGCTCGGGGTTTGATTGTTGATGATAAGAAGCGCTTAAATCTTTGTTATCATCATTATTGTGCAAACTAAGAGCTGCGGAAACCAAGATATCAAAGTTGTTCATTTTGTAAAGGCTTATTTATTATTAAAATATTAGAAAGTGATTACTAGATATTTAATAAGTTCTAGATAAAACAATATGAATAAATATTATTTAAAAACTGTTGTTACTTTTCATGAAAATGTATTGCATATAAGTTAAGGAAATTATTTTTACCTTCAAGTTATAAAAAAAAAGATTTGTCGGAAAAAGAAATATTTTTTAACCTATTAACAACAATCTCTTGACCTTATTTTTTTTGGGGATAGTTACAATCAAAAAAATAATATTAATGTGACGTGTGCACTTATAACAAGCTTTGAATGATGTAATTTGATCTTTATCTCAATCAATCAAATCAATCAATCAATCTCTATTAATTTCAAATTCCGTTCGACACGCTATTTAAACTCTTTTTAAATATGTGAAATTAAAAAAAAATATATTAATGTGACGAAATTACTGTAACGAGGTAATGACGTGTGCACTTAAAACAAACTTTGAATGATGTAATTTGATCTTTATCTCAATCAATCAATCAATCAATCAATCAATCAATCAATCTCTCTATTAATTTCAGTTTAGTTTAAATTAAATAAAGACTCCGTCCGATACTCCATGAAAAGTTGTGTGTGAAATTAAAAAAAAAAAAAAAAGTTAATGTGACGAAGTTACTGCAGTGAGGTGCACTTATAACAAACTTTGAATGATGTAATTTGATCTTTATCTCAATCAATCAATCAATCTCTCTGTTAATTTCAATTTAGTTTAAATTAAATAAATACTCCTTCCGACACTCCATGAAAAGTTATCATGCTCTTTTAAATATGTGAAATTAAAAGAATTTTGAATCGTAAACCTATTTTTGATACGCAGACGACGCGTATTAGTATGTCCCAAAATGTTACACGTAGAAAAAAATTTTATCATTGTTGATCTTTGATAAAAATCGAAAAAAAAAAATGCTTAAAAAGACTCTTTTCAATGCAAATAATTCTAGAAATAATTATATAATTCTATTAAAATCTTTATCAACATCATCTAAAGAAACTAATTCAACTTATAGTAATACGTTATTATTACCACAAACTAGCTTTCAACTTAAAGCTAATGCTATAAAACGAGAGCCCTTATTCCGTGATAGATGTACAATTGATCTATATGAGTGGCAGGTAGATAAAATAAATAAATATAATAATTTGTTAATTTGATAATTTCCCTAGTGAATTTGGGATTTTTTCATTGGGTTTTATTTCATTTCAATTTTTTTTTTAATTGTAACTTTCAAAGATTGTTCTGAATATTTAAATTTGTGCTGATTAGCTGGAAAATAATCCCAAAGAATTATTTATTCTTCATGATGGTCCACCTTATGCTAATGGAAATTTACATATTGGTAACTTTTTGTATATTATGAAAAAAAAATTTTAAAAAACATTTAATTAATTATTTATTTTTTATATGAATCATTAGGACACGCATTAAATAAAATATTAAAAGATATTATTAATAGATATAAAATATTACAAGGCTATAAAGTTAAGTATGTAAAAAAATCAAATTATAAATTACAACAATTACAATAAAAATATTTATTTTTCCTATTTATAGTTTTATTCCAGGGTGGGATTGTCATGGATTACCGATTGAATTCAAAGCTTTATCTTCATTCAAAGTAATTAGTTGACTATTGTTTTATTAATTTTCTTGTAATTAATCAAATTTTCTTTTATATATATAAATTTGATTTTTTTCTTAATGATAGAATGTAAAATTTGCAACCTTAAAACCAATGGAAATTCGTAAAGCTGCAAAAGAATCTGCGATGATTGCATTGAATGTTCAAAAAGGAGAATTTGAAAGTTGGGGAATAATTGGTGATTGGAAAAATCCATATAAAACGCTTGGTGATAAATTTATTACGTTGATTTCAATTTTTAAAAACAAATTTTTTTTATTCTTTTGCTAATCATTATTATTTTTTTTAAAAAAAAGATAAAGAATATGAAATTAGACAATTAAAAGTTTTTCATGAAATGGTGAAAAAAGGTATATCATAGTATTGATGTTATGAACAACAGTTGATAGTGAGAGTGATAATATAATCATATATATATATGTGTGTGTATGTTAGGGTATATTTATAGACAAAATAAACCGGTTTATTGGTCACCATCTTCAAGGTAATTGATATTAAATATTTTTTATTAAATAAAATTTATTGTTATTATAAAAAGTTAATAACTACATTGAATTCATAGAACAGCTTTAGCAGAAGCAGAGTTGGAATATAACGAAAATCATATCAGTAATTCTGTATATGTAAATTTTCCAATATCTTCTGAATTAGGTAATAAAAAAATAAATTTTAAATGAATTAAATCAACAATTAAATAGATTTTTATAATTATAATTACAGATTTAAATTTTAATCCAAGTTTAAAGAATAATAAAATTTCTATTATAATATGGACAACAACTCCATGGACTTTACCAGCGAATCAAGTAAACTTTCAATAATATCAAGTATTCTACAAATACTCGATCAATCAATCAATTAATATTTTTATTGATTTTTTAGGCAGTTGCAATAAATCCAAAAATTGAATATTCTATTGTAAGTACCAGAAAAGATAATGATATAAATTTATCGCCTGATCAAAATTTATATATTGTTGCAACAAAAAGAATAAATGATCTTCAAAAGATATTTGAATCTGAATTTAAGATTTATCAGACATTTGAAGGTAAAGACGATGATCAAATTGTAACAATAAATATTATCGATTGATCGATTAATTAAAATATTTAATTTAAAATATTTAAGGTTGTAAGCTTATTGGAACAAGCTACATTCATCCAATAAATCATAAAGTTTACAAGGTAATTGAATCATCGCATGTAACTGAGGATTCAGGAACAGGTACAATTTTATTCGTGTGTGTATATATATTTTTTAAAAAATTAAAGTTGTATGATAATAATATTTTTTGATTTGAATTTAATAAGGTTTGGTTCATATTGCACCTGGTCATGGAATGGAAGATTACGAAATATGTAAAAGATTGAATATACCAGCATTTTGTCCTGTTGATAATCTTGGAAATTTTACATCTGAAGTGGGAGAAGCTTCATTTGAAGGATTATCAGTATTGAAAGAAGGTTCAACGGCTGTTATAAATTTTTTCAAGAAAAAAAATTATTTGATTGCAGTAGAAAAATTCAAACATAATTATCCTTATGATTGGAGAACTAAAGAGCCAGTTATATTAAGGTAAATAATCAACAAAGCTTTTTTTATAATATATAATGTATAATGTTTATATGCTTATATATATTATTTATTAAGAGCTACACCTCAATGGTTTGCTGATGTTGGAGCAGTTAAACAAAAGGCAGTTGAATTACTTTCAAATGTTAAAATGGTTCCTGAATCTGGTATGAAGAAAAGTCGTGTTTATTGATTTTTATTATATACTATTATATTTTTCTGTAATTAATTTTGATTTTTTTTAAAAAGCACGTAATCGTCTTGAACAATTCATTTTATCTCGTAGTGAATGGTGTATATCAAGACAAAGATATTGGGGTCTCCCGATACCAGTTTTATATGAAGTAGAATCAGATACGCCATTATTAACTGATTCTTCAATAGCTCATATTATTAAAATAATTGAATCCTGTGAAGGTTCTGATTGTTGGTGGATATTGGATGAAAGAGAATTACTTGCACCTGAATATCAAAATAATGGTAAGTTTGGTTCTTTTAATTTCTCGTCTATCTTACCCAAAATTTTTATATTTATATTACTTTATTCTTAGGTGTAAAATATAAAAAAGGCATGGATACAATGGATGTTTGGTTTGATAGTGGTGTTTCTTGGGCAACAATATTAGATAATTTTCCAAAGTATTTATATTTATCCCAAAAACTCTAATCTTGAAATAAATAAATAATAGTATTATTATTATTATTATTATTATTATTATTATTATATAGTCGTATAAATTCGCCTACTATTTCAGATTTGTATCTTGAAGGAAGTGATCAACACCGTGGATGGTTTCAATCTTCATTATTAACATCTGGTAATCGATTTTGAAAACAGGACAATAAAAATTATATAAAACTATTTTTTCAAGTTGCCTAACATATATATATATACACATATATATTATATAGTCGCGGTTAATAATAAAGCGCCATATTCAACAGTAATTACACATGGATTTGTGTTGGATGAAAAAGGTCACAAATTTTCAAAATCAAAGGGTAATTTTATTGAGCCTAAAACTATTATAAAAGGTGGAAAGGTAATTATTTCCGTTTTATATCAATATATATATAAACTTGTTTGAATGTTATTCAATAACGGTTTAACCAAATCAAAAAATTTACTATATCTAAATTTTTTAAAAATTTAGAATTCAGCAAAAGAACCACCATATGGAGCAGACATATTAAGATTATGGGTTGCTTCAACTGAATATGTGAAAGATGTCAATATCGGGAAAAACATATTAAGTTTGTCTTTATTAATTATATAGATTTTAAAATTATAAATAATAAAAAACAAATATTATTATTTTTAACATTTTTCTTTAATATATTAATTCAATTAAAAAAAAAAGGCCAAATAGCAGAAAATATGAGAAAATATCGTGGAACTGCAAGATTTATGTTGGGAAATTTGAATAATTTTAGTCATCAACAATTAGTTTGTTATGATGATTTAAAACCTGTAATATTTATTATCATATACATAGACACATATATATATTCTACATTATTAATTATCTTAATTTAATACATGCATGATAATTATAGATTGATAAATTTATGCTTCATGAATTATACCAATTTGGTAAAAGCATTAATGCTTCATATGAAAGCTTTGGATTTAATAAAAGTAAGTAATAAAAAATTTATTTATTTATTGTTGTTGTAATTAGCATTAAAATTAACATCATCAAAAAATATCATTAATCTATTAATCTATTATCAACCAGTCACCCAACTCTTGAATAATTTTACAAATGTTACATTATCAGCATTTTATTTTGACATAGTAAAAGATAGATTATATGCTGATCATATTAAAAGTTTAAGCAGAACAAGTGTTCAAACCGTTTTGTATCATGTAAATATATTTCGACATTTTTATTAACAATTGCTTTTATTTCGGCTCTACATAATAGTAACTTTCTTATACTTTTTTTACAATACCATCAAAGATTTTAAACGTTTACACAATTGCATTGGCTCCAATAGTTCCACATTTAGCAGAAGAAGTTTATGAAAATTTTAAAAGTTGTAATTCGACAGAATATGAAAGTGTATTTAAATTAGGATGGTATAATTTGGTAAAAATTATTTTTATTATTAAATCATCATCATCATCATCATCATCATCATTTGTTATCCCGTGACTACTATCATTACTATCATTTGTTTTGTTATTATAGGATGAGAACTGGAATAATTTAAAGATTCAAGAAGAATGGAATGTCTTAAAAGTTTTGAGATCAGAAGTGAATCAATCATTGGAAAATGCTAGAAAGAATAAGTATGTTTTTTTTAAAAAAAAATTTATTATTTAAAAAAGTTATATATTAATAATAACGTTATTTTGATTATAAAAGGCTGATAAGAAGTTCTTTAGAAGCTACCATTGAATTAGATGTGACACCATCACCTTTGCATAACTTAATAAAAAAGCACGGTTGGTAAAATTTTATTTGTCGCCATTATCATCATTACTTATTATTAAAAAAAACCCCTCCAAAATAAATACTTAATAAATAAAAAATTCTTCATTTTAAAAAAAAGAATTAGAATTAAATTCAATATTTATCACATCAAATACAACACTCAATTCATTCAATCCATCAGCAGCGACTGACAATTTACAACCACCAGTAACTAAAGAAGAGTTTGATGGTTTGAAAAAAATTGATAATGTAAAGGGATTATTTAAAATTCAGGTAAAAAAAGCTGATTTATACAAGTGTCCAAGATGTTGGATTTTTTCTGCTAATAACGAAGGAGAACTTTGTGATAGATGTGACCAAGTTTTGAAGAATAATTAAAATCGAAAGATCTAAAGTTTTATTATCGCAGTCACTTTTGTTGTGCATTAAGTAATAATTGTTTTCCATAATGATTTACATAATGATATGGGTTGCTTTTCCAGACATCAGATACGAGTTGAGGGCAGTATTAGATTAAGAATATGAAAAGATGCTCAAAGAAAACCTATTGCCTTTTCTTGAGTGTCTGGACTATGGGTATTTCAGGGTGATAATTCTCAACCCATCGAGCAGGGAGTGTTGAGAAGTTAAACAAGATAATAACTGATTTCGGATTCAGGCCATAACATTAGTATAATAATTCTACTCGAAGACACCAAAATTGTATTTAGTTCATGTGGAGGCCCTTATCAAACCTATATAAATTTTAATCTTGGTTTTGACTTTCGTTTCTTCAAAATAGTTGAGACCAACGTCGATTATTGGCGATGAAATATTAGTTTAAAACTTTTTATTAATATAATACTTTTAGATTATTTATTTCTAGGAATTTCATTTCTTCAATCTTCGTCGAAATTAAAAACCCAAAGTTGAAATGTTTCGGCTTGAGGCAACTGCATAGTAAAAATCAGTTTCGACCAGATCTGCAAATGGTCGAAATAGTTTCGATTTGCCACAATCTTCTATATCATCTTTATTTATTCTTAGTAGATTTTTTAGTAGTGTTTGGACCTCTGAATTTTTCTTTTTAAATGATTCCTGTAATGTTTTCACTAATATCAATCTGCTTGTATCAATTATATCTCATTTCTATAAAAAAAGTGATTGGTTTCCTAGCTAGAAACATAAACAAATAATGAATGCACAAACACAATTAATCAATTACCTTCTGAAAATCCATACATAATGTCCACATTTCATTGAAATGATTGTCAAGTAACTCTTTAATTTGTTGAAATATAAAATTTGTCATATCCTTAAATTGTAATCCTTTACAAACCAATTCCACATTTCTTAGAATGTTCAAGATCCAAAAAATTCTAACAATTCCATAATCTGAAATTCTATAAATGAATTTTTCAATACTAATTAACACAATCTCAAGTCTATTAAATGATTTGTAGAATGTTGTTTGTCTAAAATTATCTAAATTCTCTTCATTGCTTCTTATCAATTGTTTTATATTAAAATGTATGAAATCAATACAAGTCTACTAAAATTACACAAAATTTTCCGTTTTTGTCCTGATAATTTTTTACTATATGTTTACATCTATTGCATACTTTTTTAACAATTAACGCGTATGGACCAAATATATCACTTATAGCTACCATGTTATTATTATTATCTTCTTCATTATCATTACTATCACCTTCAAGAATAACAAAATCTGTATAATTTAAATCTAAATTTTGTTACATTGTATATCTAATACTATTCAATAATTACGTGTACTATTATTGTTATATTGGAACAATGAAATATGTTATTGTTACAACAAAGACAGTAACCAAATAATATTAATGTAATAGCAATCGGCAGCAGCAAACAATAAAATTCATTTTTGTAATTTTATTATTATTAATATAATTGATTGATGCTTGTTCTCTGTAAAAAAAAAAAAAAAAAAAAATCGAAATCATCTTGTTACACACGAACAACAAATATTATTTCTTTATCACCAAAATTTCCACCATTTATTTCCATTATCCCAAATAATTTTATCAGCTTTCATTAATCTCTGATCAACTTTTTTCAATATCTTGTTGAAATCCGGCGATTGGATCATCTCTTCGAAAATATCATAACTAATCTGTGAGTCTGGTTTTATCTGATTGTCCTGATCAATCATTATTATTCCATCATGATCCAATTTCTTCAAATATCTTGAATTACCAATTATTGATCTACCTTCAATTATCGAAATAGTTTTGGTTGGTGAACGAACTAGTTCTCGAATCAATTTCCAAGCTGCTACTGCATATCGTTGTGATTCAATTTCTAATCCATCAAAATTTGGAATTAAACCAATCAAATTTATCAGCCAAGTTTTCTGTTCTTCCTTTAATCTATTTGCTGCCTCTATAATTTTTGTTTTGTGGGAAAATTAATATATAATTAATAAGGATAATTAATAATGATAATCTAAACGATATATTACCAAATAAATCTACGTCGTCTGCTTTAGCCAATTTATTTAAATATAATAGTCTACCGCCAACACATTCATCCACAATTTTCTCCAATACTTCTTCAGGTTCACGTCCGTTTCTTTTATCTTTCAGGAATTCAATTGCCTCATCTTTATTTAAATCATGCACTTTAATAACCTCCATATGTGAGTCATCTGTTCCTACACACATATGTATGATATATAATTAATTAACTAATTAGAATTGTCTATCTTCTGATAACTAACAATTAAACAACTGATTAAAAAAATAATTATTTATTTACTCATCCTTTCATAAACCCAATGATCATCAGTATTAAATATCATAGTGACAACACCACTTGAAGCCCATGATTCGGCTCTTTGTTGTAACAATTCCAACATATCTTCACCATCTTCATCATCTTTTAACGAATGAATATTGTTGATTATGAGCACAAGTGGTTTATCATACTTGCCTTTATATTTGTATGCTGCCTCCTCAACAACATTCAGCGCCTTCTCAATATCCAACAATGCTGAGCCTAAATTTTTTTGGCTTGAGACATGGATTTTTTTATGAAAAAATTCAGAATTCACCAAAAATTTAATTAATTACCTCGTTCCGGAGCTTCTCTAGCAAACAATCCACCAATATAATCTTCTCTATAAGTATAATTCAACGATCTACCCAATCGTACTTTAAATATTTCCGGGTTTGAATGAGCCTCACAAAACACTATACCAAACTGATTGCATCTATCCATTGCCTGAAACACAATTTGTGATTTTCCTGTCCCATTCTCCCCCACCAACAAATAATATATTCCTTTTGTATCACCTGCTATTGCATGAAACAAACTCTTGTATTCATCTTTCTCTAGGTAGTTCATTTTTGGTCTTAGCGAGGGTAGTGAATCGGTGAATGCTTTTAATACTTTACGACCTTCATGCCACTCATACCTGCAATATATATATATATAGTCAATAATTATAATAGTGTTATTAAGGTTAATAACATTAATATTAAACAATTTAATACCATGATTGATACAAGACACCGCCTAGAAAAATGACAGTCAATCCAAGTATAGTACTGAATACTGCATCTTTTACACGTGGAGTAAATAAGGTATCAATAAAAACTCTAAAATTGCGACGGTCATGTCTAATTCTCATACCACCTCCACTTATTCCTCCAGGGCTACCTCTGGGATTGTTTTTAGCATCACTACTTTCAAGGTTTCCAGGACTTCGATTAATGTTAAGATCAGCTAAACTACCATGATATTTTTGATTTGGTGAGTCTCCCTTGATTGGTTTATTACTATTAAGATGATAATGTTTTTGTTGTGGATCATCCAGAGCTTTATCTATTTAAGGACGAAAAAATATTAATTATGGAATAAAAAAAAACAAATAGTATTAGTTTTTTATGTTTACCTGAATAAGTTTCTAAAATCTCATGAACATCGAGGATTTCATCATAAGGATATCCAGATGGTAAGAAGAAAAAAAATTTTTTATTCAAAAATTTACTATTGTTAAATAATTGGGAAGAAGATTTTAATTGATTTTTATTATTTGTGAAAATTAAGTCTTTATTGTTGGTGTTGTTTGTGATAAATTTTCTATTTAATTTGGTTGATCTTGATATTGTATCATTTTTAATAAAAATAATTGGAATTGATGATGAAAATTCTTTAATAATTGAAATTTTATTATTACAAAATCTAAACATTTTCTTTTTTCCTTTGTTATTTTGATCTGATTCTCGAGAAAATAAATTATAATTTATAAACTATAACGTATAATTAAAATATATTATTATATATGCGATATAATAACACATAATAATAATTATTATTATAACGGCACGGATTCATATGCATTTTTATTGAAAAAAAAAAAAAAGGTCGCAAAAGAATAGAAGGTTTTAAAGTTGAAAAGAAAATTATTATTATGGGCATATGTGGAATTACATGTGATACCCATGATGGCTCGATGAATTTCATCGAATTCAATGAATCGGTTACACACACGAATATTATTATATATAACAAAAAAATATATTACTCAAAAGCGATTATTTGTTAGTTTTTATTAGTATTTTAATTATTGAAAAATCAATTTGAGCATGTAAATAATATAAAATTAATGATGGCTCGATGAATTTCATCGAATTCAATGAATCGGTTACACACACGAATATTATTATATATAACAAAAAAATATATTACTCAAAAGCGATTATTTGTTAGTTTTTATTAGTATTTTAATTATTGAAAAATCAATTTGAGCATGTAAATAATATAAAATTAAAAGAAGGGTTTCTTCTAAACATTGCAATTAAATCCTATGCATTAATTTCAATTTCTATCCTATTTTCTTCCACTTCATCTTGCGAAACTTCATTTATTCAAATTCAGGATTTATATTAGCATCAATTGTTAGGTATTGGAGTTTGACTTAGATTATTTGACGATTTTGTAGTAAATGAATGCCATTTGATTTTTGCAATTTTTGAAGCACGAGTATTTGTAAGGCAATTACGTTTTGATGTATGAATTGATGCCATAATAAACCAGAAATGCTCGCATCACTGAAGCTGCAGGTAAAGAGAGAGGATGAATTGCGACTTGGGTGTTGCATTTTTACTGATTTCCAAAAATGCAAGGGATTTTGAATCATTGATCAAAAATGTTGTTGTTTTAAAAATTCATCAAAACATTGATTGCTATTATTTTCTGAAAAAAATTGTTGTTGCTTCTTGCACAATATTTGCTGTATAGTTCCTTTGATTAAAGAGAAGGTAACCAATCCTTTTGTTTAAAGTTAATAACTTGGTTAATAATAACACTAATTTTAAGTTATTAATATAGTTATTAACCACCCATCACCAGACATTACTATACACGATATGGTAATTAGCTAATTACCGTAAATACGTAATTCGTAATTAACGTAATTAATTACCACTTTCACTTTTTAAAAACGTAATTACGTAATTAATTAGGGGCGACGAATTAATTACTATTGTGAAAATTTTCTATGCAAACCGTTGTTAACATTATACATGGGATGGTAATTGCCTAATTACCGTAAGTACATAATACGTAATTATCGTAATTAATTACCATTTTCCTCTTTAAAATCATAATTACGAAATTAATTACCGTATTACGGGTGACGAAATTAATTACGGGTGACGAAACTAATTACGGGCGACGAAATTAATTATGAATAACAACGAATTAATTATTGGAAATATCAAAAAATGTCAATATGACGAGAATGTCATTATAACGGGAGTTCATATAGAAGTCATATGAGAATCATTATCATGTGATTTTGTAATTTTATTTTTATTATATATTTTTTTTTATTTCATTCAATTCTATCAGGAAATTTAAAACTTACGCCGGGTCAAAATTGACCAGCATTATACAGAAGTGTTATCAGAATTTTCCATGATACTGGTCCATTTTGATCCCGGCATAAGTTTTAGTTCCTTATGTTTCAGAAATGATTAGAATGATTTTAATTGGTTCTCCCGTTATACTGACATGTCATTATAACAGAATAAATTCTATAATTCTAAAAAAAGTATGTCATTATACTAGTATAACGAGATAAATAATAGGTGTCATTTAATTTCGTCATTCGTAATTGATTTCGTCACCCGTAATTAATTTCGTAATTATGTATTAGTATTACGTATTTACGTATTACGTTTTTGGCAAAATAATTACCATTCTATGTATAGGCAAGAACACTAAAAAGTATTATGCTAAACTGATAGAATGTATTGGAAAACATATTTTCAGTATCAGTGCACAAAAGATACTCTATTTTTTCCGGCCAAAAAATTTTTATTTGAGGCATGCTTGACAACAAAACCAGACAAAGTGAACATTGGTATTACCAAGAATTTCAGGGATCAAAATTTAGTAATGTGATTATTAAAATCTTCCATTTGTTATCCTCTTAATATTAGATGATATATAGAACTACTCACATATAAAAGTAATAATAATATGAAATTAATTTATATCAGATCTACCATGGAACCCAAGAATTATAGTACTATCATGTAATAAATTGTTTGCTTTATTAGTATAATAACGTTTTTCTTTAAGGAAGGCACTGTGATACAAGATTATTTTATGTGTAACGCGTGCGTTACAATACTTTACATTGTCGCGACCGAAGCAACAGGAGGGAACGTCCTATATAAGGAATGGATTTTCACAATTGATTTCAATTTTTTTTATACAGTTTAAAATACT